CTGGAGCAACGGACTAGAGATGAGAATGACATAGACTAGGACGGGGTCCAGATCTGTTTCTCAGGGGGTCACTATGAGTCATACATAACTTAATTGCACATATCACAAGGTCACTATGAGTCACAGCCAAATTGACAGCATGTACAAGCAACCCCTCTTGGAACTAATGATTTTTTTTTCTTTAAACTGCACCTGGAACTTAGTAATTGCTCATTGATTGTGTGGTGCGGTTTTTGGTTTTGTTTTTTCTGACTCCCACTGGGTCACAACAATAATGTTGCTGTTGTCTTTGACTTGTTTGAAATGGAATAGAAGTGAATTGAATTGAAATCTACCACCAGTCAGTTTTGCCTCAATGACCCCTCCATCAGGTTTCCGAGGCTGTAACTCACCACAGAGAAAAACTGCCCATCTTTCTCCAGTGGAGTCTCTGGCGAATTTGCACTGCTGGAGATGCATGGTATTTGGGTTAACTGAAACTTGGTACCAACTATGCCACTAGACTTCCTTTTCTAACTCATGATTGTTATGTGCCATTGAGTCAGAATCAATTCATAGCTGACCCTCCAGTGGGTTTTCAGAGGCAGTAAAATGCACAAGAGACCATCCATTTTTTTTCTAGCAGAGCACCTGGTGGATTTGAACCACCTACCTTTATGTTGACAGTGCAACTACGTACCAGTCGGCTACCTGATCTCCCTAAAGGAGCTCCCTCCTGAATCAAGGAGGCCTGATAAGAGAACTGCTTTTTCCCAGCTGCAATCTTTCTCCACAGGCTTGTAGGGTTTTTTTTAGTGAAATTATGATTTCATTCCATCATTCCTGCACATCAGAGTTGTGATACGTAGACCAGATTTATGGGAGCAAATTGTCCCTCTTCTATTACTAGTGGGTTGAAGCACCAAATATGTGTGATTGACAGTCAAATGCTTACTATTGTACCACCGGGATTGTTCTATATGACACTGTGGAGTGTAGTTTAGTGTTCAGAATGGCTTTCCTAGCCCTTCAACTGAACTTTGCCATGTGGATGGGCGAGAATATGCAAATGGGACACATTTGCCTTTCTACAAGGGAATTGGCTAGTCTCGCCAATCTTCAAAGGGGATTGGCTAGTCTCACCATTAAATTCAGCTGATACAGCACAGAAGGATCTTCTCCACCTGAAAAAGAGCAAGAAAGAGACTGCAGAGTGTCCTTCAGAGTCAGAGATAATTGCGCCAGGCAGACCAAGAGGACCTACTAGAGCACCAACCATAGTAGCCATAGCCAAGACCCCAAGACTAAACATGGTATGAGAACTCGGGAGTGCTACATCATTGGACTAGAACTATGAGCCTTTTGTCCAAGTCTATTGGAGGACAAGGGAGGGGAGAGCCAATATTGGCAGGACTAAGAACTTTGTAACACTGAGGCTCAAGGCCAAGGTGCCTGCGAGAGCATTTCTGAAGCTGTCCTGACTATATTCTGCTAACAATCTGGATCGTACATGTTTGGACTTCCCCAATATGATTCTCTGTGGTCTGTCTGTAAGCTATGACATCAGATTTTGGACCCAGGAAAGCAGTAAAATTGGTGTTGAGATGAGTAGATGGAGTGGGGAGATATGACCTCAGAATTGGTTTTGTGTTGCTGTGTTGCCAGGGACAGCTCCCCTTTGTGAAGCTGCCAAAGGTCAGATATGGCCATTCCCACAAAGCCCTTGCTCTTTTTATAGACATCTATCCATTCATAGGACTCTCGCCATCGTCTGGGCTGTAGGTCCTTTGAGGACATGGATCCTGTCATGTGCATCATTCATAAGCTGGTTCTTTGAAGAATGAGCTCAACAAATGTTGAATAAGCAAATAATATGAATAAAATATTATTGTCATTGGGGAATGACTTATCCCAACTGCCCTCCTTTGGGATAAAATGTGGCTTCATAAAATATTCTTTTCATCATTTATATTTGACACAGAATTGTTTTTTATACTATTTGAGTATCATATACTTCGGACATGTTCTTAGGAAGGGCCATTCCTTGCAAAAAGGCATAATGCTTAGAAAAGTGGAAGGTCAGGGAAAGAAAGTCCCTCAACAGGAAACAGGATGTACTGGCACAGTGACTGTAGGAAGAAGCTTAAGTATATCAAAGATAGTGAGAATGTGCGCTGCAATCCCAAAGGCAAGTGGTTCGAATCCACCAGACTCTCTGCTGGAGGAGGGGCAAGGGGAGGGGAGGCAAGGTGAGGAGAAAAAAAATATATGAGGATGGCACAGGATAGGGCAAGGTTTAGATTTGTTGTATATAAGGTCACTGTGAGTTGTAGACAATTTGAATACATGTAACAAGAACATACTCTTGTTATGTGCTTCTGAGTCTCCTGTAATTCATAGCAACCCTATGTACAATAGCTCTGAAGCCTGCCCTGTCCTGAGCCAGTCTGACTCTGACACATTGCCCAAGTTACTGTATCAACCCATCTCATCCGGGGTCTTCCTCTCCTGAGCTCTCCCTCCACCTTTCTGAGCATGTCCTTCTCCAAGGACGAGTCCTTCCTTGCCACATGCCCAAAGTATGTGAGACAGAGTTTCAAAATCCTAGCCTTCAAGGAGAAATTTGGTTTTACCCTCTCCAAGACAGATCTATTTGTTTTCTTGGCAGTCCATGGTATGTTCAACTCTTTTACTGAAAGGGAGCTCTGGTGACCTAGTGGGTAAGGAGCTGCACTGCCAATCCAAAGGCATAAGGTTCAAATACACCAGCTGCTCCACAGGAGAAAGATGGGCACTTTCCTCCCAAGTGATTTACTGCTCTATAAAACTGCTGTAGGGTCAGCTATAAGTCAGTTCTGATTAGATGGCACATAACATTTTACTGCACTTCACAGAATACAGTATACAGAATACACTGCAGGGTGTATTTTTTTTTCACAACTTGAGGCTTTGTGGTAACCCTGCATCCAGTAAGTCTATTATCATTTTTCTAACAGCATGTGCTCAACTCCTGTGTCTGGGTCATATTTTGATTATTCTCCTAACATCCCAAACCATTTATAATGTTCTTGCTTACATTACAGGATACTGTATGGAGGATATGTAGTTCAAGATTTTTCAGAATCGACCTATAGCTAACTCTCGGGCAGGTTTTCAGAGGCAGTTAATCACACAGGAGGAGATTGCCCATCCTTCTCCCACGGAGCAGCAGATGGCCTTGAACAGCATGCCTCTGGGATTGCAGCGCAGCTTCTTGCCACTAGGCCACGAGTGCTCCCTAAGACATGTAGGGTTTTTTTGTTTGTTTTTTTTATTAGAAAATTTAAAATTTTTCATAAATGTGCTTTGTTCACAAAATGTGAAAAAATACAAACACAAACATACATTTTCTATTATGCCACCTCCCCCAACTTGGCAAATGTGGAATAACCCACTTGACTTCATCATGATCTTAAAGAATACAACCACATGACCATCATTTGTTTCTGAAACATCAAATTATTTTGGAGAATCTTGCTATGAACTTGACAGGAGACCCCATTAACTGCTTTACACCCAAATGAAATAATTTCTAAGAGTACCTATATAGAATTAGGAGGTTCTAGTCACTTTTCTTGTTGTTACACATCTAATCTGGCACCAAGCTTATACGTTAACATTTACACACTGGCTTTGGTGTAGCATGTGCTGATTTAAATCCTGTGCCAGCCTAATCTGAATAAGCTGAATTTACAGTAACAGACATGTAGTTCTTATGCGATGTGGGAAACCCAAAAACTGGTGTGCCTTGCCTTCCTGGGGTGTTCACCTCCATAGCATTGCCTGGAACCGAAACTGCACCACCTCCAAGGTCTGCCTGTGCCTCCCAGATCCACAGAAAAGCAGGCACTCTGGAAACGTCATAACAAAGCTCAAGTGTTTATTAAGAATGAAAAATACTGTAAATAAGCCATACAGTTCATTTCACAGTAAACTAAACAAACCTTTTTTTCCTTTGCCTTTTCAGTTTGGTGTGTGTCTCTTTTCCCCCCCCACCCCCCCTATTCTTTTCTGAAGGGCAAGACAGCCATTAAAGAACAGAACACCTCACAGGAAGGGGGAGGGCAGACAGGTACAGAAATGCACTCTCTCCTTGCTGATGTTGGAGTTCTGCTCAGCGAGCAAACCTCCTCATGGATATTATGTTTTAAAATTTAAAAGAAAAAAAGGTTTGGCCTCCACCTCCCAGGGAGACATGCACCTGCTCTGGGGGGAGTGCTCCCCGTTTTTCAGAAGAACCCCAGAACTCAAGGCATGCTGGGATGCTAAACCCAGGCATTCTTGGTGGCCGACCAGAAGAGCTGCACAGGTGGGCCCCAGGGACCTCGGAGGTTCCCGGACGCTCCAGTGTGACTTTCGAGATGACTATGTGGCACCACGTGAGGGGAGGTGACCTAGTGGCCATAAAGACCGAGGGGCTGTCGCCCACCCCAACTCAGAGCTGACACTGGTGAGTTTCAACCAGTTTCAGGTGGAAGACAAGGCGTGAATGACAGCTCGTGAAAACTTCAGCTGGGACGGCTTTAAAAAAATAGAACGAATTCTCCTTAAAAACAATTAGAAATAAAAGCACCTCCCCATTTCCCTTCCCCCCTCCCTTTTTATTTTTTTAAACTTGGCCCTGCCGTTTTTGAGGTTAATCTGCTTCTGTTAATCCTCGGTTGAAGGCATTATCTTTTTGTGCAGTCACCAGACCTCCCTTCTGGAGACCAGCACCGCTCTCTGGGGCTGGGCCTTCAAGAAACCAAGCACAGCAGAAGCAGACAGCTCGAAAACGAACGGTGTGTGGTGAAGAGGGGGGATAAATTAACGGGGCACGCAGTAAACACGAGGCCTCGGTGCTCCAGGTGGTGACTGCTCTTCAAAGGGGGGGAGGGAACAGAAACTGGGGTACCGTGGGGCTGGGCTGAGTGATGGCGGGAGGAAACATTTTTTTTGGTCATAAGAAGGTGGCCTGTGTGACCCCCGCACTCGCGGTTCCCTTAGACTTTCTCGTGGATCTTTTCCACCTTGAGGAACAGTCTGTCCAGGTCACTTCGCAGGTCGTCCAGCAGAACCTTGGCCGACTCTAGATTGTTCTCGTTGGTTTCGATTTTGACCGAGTAGGCCACCAAGCTGTCCACCGCGGTCCTGAGCATTTTCAAGTCCGACTCCACCTGGTTCATGGAGGACCTGAGGCTGTCGAGGGAGGAGAGTTTGTCCAGGTAGTCATGGGGGGCGCCCCGGGCCGGGTCCTGGCCGAGCAGCGTGTGGACCTGCTCCTGGACCCGCTGTAGTGCCTCCACAGTGCTGGGCAGCTCGCCCATGCTCCTCTTCAGCTCCTCCATGTCGGCGTACAGGGCCAGCTGGGCCTCGCCCAGGCTCCGCACGGTGGCCACCACGCCGTCCTTGTCCCCGTCCGCGGGGCCCAGGCCCTCCACACGCTCCTGCAGGGCGGCCAGCCGCTGCTCCTGCTCCTCGCTCCTGGACAGGAGGGACTCCAGGCTCTCCGAGTGGCGCGTCGCCGTCGCCTGTGCTGACTGCACCCCGTCTTCCACGTCCTGCAGCCGGGAGTCCAGCCCCTGACTCATTCTCTGCAGCGCTTCGAAGGCCCCGGGTGCCCCATCTTCCTCTGGCCGGTGGAAGTCAGCTCGCAGGTGACCCAGCTCCTCTTCCAGTCTCCTGAGCTCCCCGGGCAGGCGGGACACGGCCTCCTCGGTCTGCAGGAACTTCTCGCTGAGGGTCTGCAGGGTGATGTGCTCCGTGTCAGCCGCCTCCTTGAACTTCTGCTGCTCCTGCTTGAGGCTCACCAGCTCCTTGACCTCCGTGTACACATCCGACTCCATGGTCTGCAGGGTGCCCCTCAGGGCCTCGAGGTCCTTGTCTCTGGACTTCAGCGACATCTGTATCTCCTTCACAACCTCCTTCATGGCTTTCAAGTCCTGCTGGTAACCCTCAGACTCCTCCAGAGAGGCGACCTTGGCCTTCACCTCGTTTATCTCCTTCTGGCTCCTCTTCTGGACCTCGGTGAAGATGGCGATGTTGTCGTTGATGGACTTGGTGAGCTCCGTCAGCCGCTCCTCCACCGTGTTCTCCAGGGACGTGAAGTCCCGCTCGCGAGCGTCCTTCACCACGTCGATCCCGTCCGAGAGGTCTTTGAGGATCTCGTTCTGCAGCTTCTGAAGAACTTCGCTGATGCGGTTGATCTCGCTCTCCCCCTGCTTCACAGCTTTCTCCGTGAGATCCTGCTTATGCTGAGAGCTCCTCAAGATGGACTCAAAAGTCCCGAACGTGGCTTGCAGGGACTGGACCTGTAACAAACGCCAGAGGTTAGTTGCTGAGCAGAGCTGATGCTGGTATAACACACCACACACCTGCCTAGTTCCAAGTCTCTCCGTGCAAAGATAGCAGCAGCTCAACTTTCCTCTGGGGAGCCAGTCTTCCTGCACACACAATCCACAGGACTTACAGGATCAACTCAAAACACCTTGACCTCCGAGCATTCCAGAGGTGGCCTCATAACCAAGCCTGGCCAATCCACATTTTTTGTGCTTTTCTCCTACCCCTGGCCACCATGATTAACTGAGGGATGGACACGTGGTCTCAATAAAGCCAAAAAGTCAACTCCAAGATTCTGTTAAAATTACTGGGAATGAAACCACTATGCTGGGAATGCTGGCTACAGGTAAGGCTAGAGTTGCTCAAGGCAGCTAATAAAACCACCCACCTGAGACTCGACAGAGCAGAGAGCCCGCACCGCAGAGGATGCTGGGAATTGCTGGCTACATTTGGAGCATCTACCCCGAGACTTTCCTATTTGTGTCAATAGTCTCCCTCTTTAAGCCAGTTTCAGAGGGGCTTCTAGCTTTTGCAAATGAATCTCACAGACCTTTGCAGAAAAAATCTGAGGCCTATATGGAGACTGAGGGCTCTGAGTGCCACATCTAGCTGGTAACTCTAAAGATGTCCTCTCCAGACCACTGACCTCACTGCAAAACACAAGCCATGAATGAGACGATCCCTTAGTATTTCTGACTCTGTGAACAGAGTGTGATGTTACATTTCCACCTCATAGTTATTCTAATGCCACTCTCCCCTAAGCAAGGACTTACTTGGAACTACCCAGGGGAGGTGACTGAATATACTGAGAGGTTGTATCAGATGACCACTAATAAGCTTGACCCCTCCTGCAGGGTCACAGAGTGCCACCTCGGATGCGTTCTTCAGAGACTCTGAACTTATCAAGTCGCCAGTTCTCACTACCCATTCACGGAAAGCATGCAAGATAGAGAGGCATGTCAAACAAGGCTAGGATGCACTGGGCCCAATCTCAGTGTGGAAAACGCTACAGGACCACTGAGAGGATCCTCAACAATTAAAAGGTATTTTTAAAGGGTGAAGAGAGGGCAAAACTATTGTAGGTCAAAGAAATGTAAACTTAATCAGTAATGTATGAACCTTACATAAGGTCTGATTCAAGCAAACTAACTATAAAAGACATGGAAACTTGATTATGGACTAAAGGGTACAGTCAGATGCTAATTTAATGGCTGGAAGCTCAAATCCACCCAGCCTCCCCACAGAAGAAAAGCCAGACAAGAAAACCCTGTTCAAATGCATGGGGTTGCCTGAAGTCAGAATACTCAACAGGAGCGGATCTGTTTGGTTTTTGCTAGATGATATTAAGGAATCATCGTTAACTTTGATGAGGTAATACTGTGTTTTGTTAAACAAAACATGGAAAAGGAAGGGAATAAAATCTCTTTCTGTGAGAAAGAAAACCTAAAACACTTAGAGGGAACTAAACTGATAAGGGGATTAATTTTTTAAACTACTCCAGACAGAAGAGGAGATGGAAGAATGACAAAATGATAGCTATTCAAATTGAGTAACATGTAACCTTGGATATATTCTATTATTCTCTTTTATTTTGTTTATGTGCCATAATTTCCACTTAGGGACATGAAAGATTAAAAAAAACCACAAAAAACAGTAGCAGCCTAAGAGCCAAACTGTTATGTGCCATCAAGTTGCTTGCAACTCACAGCGACCCTATGTAAAACAGCTCTGAACCCTGCTCTGTCCTGAGCCAATTTAATGGCACACCTACCCCAAATACCCCAGTCAAGGACTCAATTCGTCTTATCAAGGGTTGGTAGGTGTCATCAGTTCTGATTCACAGTGACCCCCATCTGGTTATAGCAGAACTTCTCTGTAGATTTCTTGGCTGTAATCTTCATAGAAGCAAGTCTCTCAGGTGAGTTGGAACTATCACCCAATCATTTAACATTGAGTGCTTAACTCTTTGCATCACCAGGGTTCTTGAAAGAAAACGGCCTAGGTTCAAATGAAGCACTGATCTTAGCTGTGTGTTTAAACACGTTACCTAGCATTGTTGTTGTTGTTGTTATGTGCCGTTGAGTCGCCTGCGACTCATAGCGACCCTAGGTACAACAGCTCTAAGCTCTGCTCTGTCCTGTGCCAATCTCACTGTCTCCGACACACTCATCCCAATTGCCCCGGACACCGAATCAATCCACCTCCCAGAGGGCCTTCCCCTCCTGTGCCTGCCCTCCACCCTCCCAAGCATGATGTTCTTCTCCAAGGACCAGTCCTTCAAACCAAGAAGAAACTATCTACACACCAGTTCCACAGGACACATCTCCGTTCGGGACACCTTACCACTAAACTTAGGAGACTCTGGTCACAGGGTAAGAAACTTACCAGCTGATGAATCTGGAATCACACAGAAACCAAGGAAGCTTTAGATATAAGCTATCAGATCAAGGGCTAGACAATGGGAGATAGATGTTGAAGGAAGTGGGTAGAAGTAGAGGGGTCTCTTGATGATGGTTACCTAGCGTATTAGCAGCAATTAGAAACTGGTTTGCAGGACTGCTTTGTGAGGAGCTCTGATAGCTTAATGCTAAGAAATTATGCTGCCAGCTCAAAGGTACGTGGTTCAAATCAACCAGCTGCTCTATGGGAGAACAAGTACCTTCTCGCGTGTGACTTACTGCCTCTAAAAAACCCACTGGAGGATCAGCTGTGGGTCGGTTCATACTCAACGGTACACAACACCAACCATCGTCACCTTCACCAGTGGGCTCTGGTGGCTCATCCGTAGCATGCTGTACTGCTATGTACATGTAACAAAAAGGCTGAAAATCTTCAGTCCAAATCCACCAACAACTCCAGGACAGAAAGAAGGACAGTCTCCTCCCTTTAAGATTTACAACCTCAGAAACACAATGGGTGTGAATTGATTCAGCTGGAGCGAGAGCTGAGACTGTCTTCAGTAAGGAGGCCTGATGGGACAGTGGTTCTGACTGAAAGGTCAGTGGTTCTAACCCACCAGCTGCTCCTTGGTAGAAAAATGAGGCTATCTGCTTCCATTAGGGTAACAGTCTTGGAAACCCTCTGGGCAGTGCTCCTCTGTCCTACAGTAGTCACTAGGAGCTGGAAGGACTTGCTGGCAAGAAGTTTGATCTGAATCATCTTCATAAGGTGCCCTGATGACAAGGTGATTCAATGCCTGGCCACTAAACGCTGGCCATTGGAACCCAAGAGCCCTTGGAAGAAAGATGTTTACATTCCCTAAAGATTAGGACTTTAGAAACCCTCAGGGAAGTAACCAGAACCAACCATACAGGGAACAAGTATTCCCTTTGTTGTTTACCCTTTGTCCCAAAGTTCCTCAGAAGTCAAGGGGTTTCTAGCACCATCCTCAGCTCATAGACACAGCTTAACTGACAGGGCAGGGCGTGCGGGCTTGAATGCTAGCTCCCCCAATAATCAGCCGTGAACATCAGCCACTATCCCTTTCCTAGCCCCACGCTTCTCACCTAGGAACCAGGTCTTAAAGTTTCTACAAACTCTACCAGTCTATAATTTGAAGATAGAGTAAGATTCCCAAGGACTACAGATTATACCACTTCCCTGCCTACCAAATTCATCCCGTTATAAAGCACACTTTGAGAAAGAATTTTCTGGACAGAAGGTTGCCTCTGCACTAGATCATGAAATCACCAGACAGGCTTCTTCCATTGATCTCCAATTTACACCTGAGGAAGCTAGGGAATAGGGGATTTCAAGTCACACAACTGATTAAGTGACAGTGGCAAGCATCTAAAAAGTGAGCTCTTGACCACTGTCATCTGCTCAGGCAGAGGAAAGAACACCCAAGAGCCCCTCTTGTCCAGAGCCAAGATGGAATAAAGAAATAAAGCAAAATAAGGTACGTGAACCCACATTTCTGCAAACAGCTCCAAGTCTCACGCAATTCTCTCACCAGCACGCGTGAGCCCGCTTCAGGTCACTTCATGCCACTGGGTCTCTTGTCTAGTCTACTCTGTGTCTGTCCTAGGCTCCTGAATTTCTAGAATGGAACTGCCAACAATGCCTGAAGCTATGGAATCGCTTGAGTGTGCAATGAGTCTTCCAGACAAGGCGAGGCCCAGCCTATCAGCTATGCACCAGCCATTCAGAAGACCTGGGCTGTTTTCCAATACTAAGAACAGGAAAGACCAGGTGGGCACCCAGTATGGCAGCAGAATAGCATAGGTCAGGGGTAGACTGGCCAATCCAATCCCAGCTCCACCACTTACCTAGGGGGGAGGGCGATGTGCGTGAGAAAGAGAAAGTGAGAGATCTTGAAGAAGTAGCCAGCCTAGGCTCAGTTACCCACCTGTGAAATATGCTGGTAAGAGGTACCAGCCTGGGGCTGAATGGCAGGGCTGACAGTGGCTTTGTAAGTACTTCAGAGAATGCCCATCCCGTAGTAAAGAACAATTAATGATAATACTGTAAGTCCATTTCCATACTACTAACCAATCTTCCACCATGTCTCATATGGAGTCAAACTCAGGCTGTCAGAAAACCAACCCAGCTTGTGGCCTGTTAATGCAAGGTAACTAACTTCTTCCGGACGGTCCACCCTAAAGGTGCAGACACTCAAGGGTTTGCATGTTCCTGGTCAACTCTGTTCTGGGTATATTCTCAGTTCCAGGTCAACGGAACAAGCATTTATAAAGTAACCTACTGTGTACTGGCAAGGAAGCATGGGAAAGCTGGTAAGATTAACAGCAGTGTGGCTAATGGTGAACTAGAAGCAGTCAAACAGCCTGGGTGTGAATTCTGGCCCTGTCACTCACGTGCAAAGTTTCTTAGCCACTGTGTCCCAGTTCCTTTATTTGCAAAAAGGGGCTAATGAAAGTCATCAGCTATGGAAACACGTGTCAAAAAGAGGGGACATCTGTAGATGCCAAGCACAGTGCCAGGCACACAGATGCACAGCTGCTGTGTACTATCGAATCAGAACCCACCCACAGCTCACCCTCCAGCAGGTTTTCAGAGGCAGTAAATTGCACAGGAGACCGCCCATTCTTCTTCGCGGAGCAGCTGGTGGATTCAAACTGCATGCCTTTGAGTTGGCAGCTCCAACTTACCACTAGGCCACCAGAGCTTAGATACACAGTCAACATCAGGTATTAAACAGACTTCTCATTCTACTAATAAAATTTTCAAAAAACGTTGTCATGATGTTAAGAGTCATTTTTGACTTGTGAGGACTCCTGAGCGCTGCCCCCCCCCAACTTTGACTGTAGGAAAATCAAGTCTCAAAAAAGAAAGTCATCTCTAGTTAGCCAAGAAGAACCGAATAAAGAGGAAAAAGAGTCTACCAGGAGGAGGAGGAAGCAACTGGGAAAAAAGTCCAAATTCTTCAACCTGGATTCAACAACTTCCCCCAGTTTGACTCAATTTTCTAACTCCTTTGTCACTGCTTCCTAAACAGTGTCCCCCCCACCCAACCCCAGGGGCTAGGGAACCACTCCCTGCCCTACAATCTTACTCAAGACTGTCTCCCTGCTGGTGTGGCCTTCCAAGTTCCTTCTTCCTACCTTAGGCCCATGAGTGCACTACCATTTGCAGTGATCCTATAACCAACAGATCTGAACTTGGCACTGTCCTGTCCTGTACCATCCTCACATAGCTGTCCTGCTCAAAGTCTCTGTGCTAACCTATCTGGTTGAGGGTCTTCCTTTCTGGGTGATGTATCTTCTCCTGAAAATATGCCCAGCTTAAGTCAGGCAACAGTTGCATGACTGCACTATCCTAGCCATGGGCAAATGTGCTCAGTGGCTGACTGAAAGGTTTACACGTTCAAAGCTACCCTGAGATGCCTTAGAAAGCAACCTAGTTTTGGTGGGATAGGTGGTAGGGGAGGGAATAAAAAAATACAGCCTTGAAGGTCAGTTTTACTGTAACACACTTCAAGACTGCCCTCAGTCAACATGACAGCAGCTGAGCACCAGGTACCTCAAACCCAAAAATCCAAACCTACTGCCCTTGAATGTCTTCAGGCTCAAAGCTGCCCTGTAAGACTGAGCAGAACTGACCAGAGGGTGTCCAAGACTACTAATCAGCAACAAAACAGAATCCTTTATCTTTCTCCCAAAAAAACAGTTGATGGATTCAAAGTGCCAATCTTTTGGGCAGGCAGAGAATTCTTTAACCACCAGGCTCTATACTAGATATACTAAAAAAACACCCAAAAAACAAAAACCCAAAACCAAACCCAACAAAAAAACCCCAAAACAATCCCCAAACCAACACACAAACTCATTTCCATCTACTTGAACCTACTCATAACCGTAACCATTGATTTCTGAGGCTATAAATCACATGGGAGGAAACTGCCCATCTTTGTCCCTTGGCAATTTTGGTGATTCAACCCTCCAGAGGAGTGTAGCTTTTGAGTTCACAGTTCCCTATGGACGAGGCCACCAGGGCTCCAGGACTGAGCAAATTCCACTTCGTTGAACCTGAATCTGCCCAGCAGTTACCTTCAAGCTGACACCTACTTTACCTGTTCCTTCCCTCACAGATATGATTCAGATTCTCTGCAATAAGAAGGCCCTGCCTTTTGCAACGTCTTACCCTCCACAAGGCCTACACAGAGCCATCTCGCTATCAGATTGTGAGAAATATTATGATTGAGAAGTGGGTGGATGAAAGAGGAAACAGAGTGGCTGGTGATTAGACTCTCTGGTAGGGTGCCTTTTTTTTCTGTCATCTGGCATTTAGATTTAGGATAAGCAAAGCAGACCTGCCTACTCTCAGCCGACTCAACTCTCCTGGCCTGCAGCGTGTTGCAGGCTGACTCACTCCAGTTGCTCTGCCCCTCTTGGAGGAAATTCCTCATCCTGCACACCCAACAGAAGTACAGGGAAAACTTGGCAGGACCGGCAGCATGCTGGGAAAAAGAAGCAGCAGTTCCGGGCCCCAAAGTGGCGCGATTTTTTGTCTCAGCCATGCAACTAACTCTCATTCAGCAATGAAATGAGCAGGGGAGGGAGGGAGGGAAGAGAAAAACTGACTGCAGGCTGCTGCACTTGGCCTGGGCAAGGCAGAGCCGCGGCCACACATGCCTGGGCTGGAGCTCTGGGGACCCTAACTAAAGAGGGTAGTGATCAAGATGCTATCACTCCGCGAGATTCAGTGAAGCGCTGCAAACCTCAATGTTCTGGTCTGGAAAATGGAGTCGGCCCCCACCTCCCTCCCAGGGATTAGATAAGAAATGGGTAAGCCATCTAAACACCCCGCAAGTGGACCTGGGGTTACTGTTCACCGGGGTGACCTAGTATTTCCGGCCTCTCCTTCCTGCTAAAGCTGAAGTATGCTACTTCGAATGCCCACGCGGGCACCCGGGTCCCAAGGAGCCTCTTATATAATATTTAGTTTGAACTTGGCAAATGAGTAAGAATACGAGCTTTTCCTTCCTCGAGCTCCAGGTCTATTAAAAAGCTGGCTTCGCTGTGCCCGCTGGGCGGGCTGAGGGGCGGCCTTGGCCAGGGCTTCCAGGGATGCACTGGCGGCCCTTCCAGCCTCCTTTTTAGACAACTGTCCATTCAGCGGTTCCTAATCCAAAAAGAATGGGTTCCCAGAGCCTGCTGGCTTCCTTACAGGTCACCGCTAATGTCCTATGACATGCCCTTGGTCCACTCTCCCTGCTGGCCCCATCATCCTCCCGGAGGTCCATCCTTGGGGGGGGGCTCGATTGCCCAGCAGCCATTAACAAAGAGAGTCTGGGGTCCCCCTTGCAACAAGACGGGATGGGGAAGCAGGGGACCCCTTCCAGAACCGAATGAGACCAGGGCCTAGGCTGCCCGTAGGGGCTTGTCTAGGAGGGGCCCTGGCAGGGCGAGGGGCACGGGCACCCTGGGGGCTGCTCCCCAGTGCAGGGGGTGGTCGAGAGGGACCCACGGGCACCCACCTTCTGTTCGACGCCCAGCAAGCTCTGGCCCAGTTCTTCACGCTGCCGGAAGAAGTCCTGGTGGCTGAGCCGGACCTGCTGCACCTCCTCCAGGACGTGGTGGACACACCAGCCCGAGACGGCGGCCGCCGCCACCAGGGCGAGGTAGAAGAGAAAGTTGAGCGCCTTGCCGAGCTTGCGCGAGCAGGACGCCGAGGACGAGGAGGCGGCGGAGGACTTGGCGCCGCCACCACCGCCGCGGTGGCTGCCCTTGCTGTGCGCCTGGTTCTGCTGATGCTGATGCGGGTGCTGGTGCGGCGCCGGCGGCTGCTGCTGCGGTGGCGGCGGCGACGGCTTCTTGGCCACGTCATCCGCGCCGCCCGACGGGTGGGCGACCTTCTCCGAGGGGCTCGCGGCGCCTTGGCCGCCCTTAGAGCCCCTTTGTTTGGCCGAGGGCATGGCGGGTGCGGAGGCGGCGGAGGCCGCGGGGCTGGGAGGCGAGCGAGCGGGGCGCGCGGCCCGGGACACTTGCGGGGCTCCCCGGGGGCCGGGAGGGCTGCACGAGGCGGCGGCTGGCGTCGGAGGCGCTGAGAGAGAGCGGCCGGGCGACTGGCGGGACTGAGGCCCGGCCCGCAGAAAAGAGGAGGGG